CTTTCTAATAAAGTAGGGCCTACCTGCACATCTAAAATCCAAAGGCTTTACTTAAATGGAATAATGTAAATACTGGCTATGTTAATATAACCTTCATTTTTCCTGTTGTCAGATTTGTGAGCAGATTTTTCTTAAATTAAATCCATTATTATAATTGTTTTTACTCTTTTAAAAAATATCATATTTGGAATATATCTGACCATATTTACTGTTTAAAGGAAATATATTTAAAGAAAATAACAGAATAGTATTTTAGTAACTTCAACCTGCAACCTTCCAAAAATAGAAATACCTAAGTTTCTTTTACCTGTCATCATTCAGTACTGCCCTGTCTTCTTAGAAAGTGGAACACAAACAGGAGTTGGCCAGGCAGAATTTGTAGTTTATTACAAGCTTATGGTAATGTAGTAATTTTCTTATTTTTGGGTTTTGTTGATTTTTTTTTTTTTTTTTGAGATTCTGAAATTTTTAGAAGTTTGTGTTCATGACATATTAAGCCCATATAATGTGTATGGGGCATCTTCTGGGTCAGAGGAGAAACCTTCATCATCTTTGGAGAGTGTTTTTGGGGAAATCTGAGGCAGTCAGGAGAAAGAATGGTGCAGATTGCCCCAGTCTGTACAGAAAAACAGAGATTGCTAAAATCCTGTGCAGTAACCACCGTGTGTAGACACAGTCTCCGGGTATAAAACCTTAAACGCATCTAAGGAAGGCACCACCTTCTGCCTGCGATGAGCAGCAGCTTCACGTGAAGCATACAAGAAGGTTAAAAAAATGCTCATTCTGGGGAAACTGAGACAGACATCTGTAACTTGGGGTCTGTCTTACAGTATATGAAACTGAAAGATAAATTGGGCACTTAACTACCTTAAAGTTTTACTGGAGCTTGTAAAACACTTCCTTTATGCTAGACATAGAACTCTAAGATTCTCTCCCAACTACCAATCCCCTCTTCATAAACAATATGATTGCTGGCTTAGGGAGACCCCGCTCTGTGCTTTGAGAAGATTTTTTTTTTTTTTTAATCACCAGGGAACACTGCATTTTTCTCCGTAGGTTGGTAAAGTCACACAGAGGTAGGAACCCCATCTGTCATTCATCCAACCCTTTCTTCCCATACTGGAGAATCCAGGGCTGAAGGAGAAGTAATTAACTAAGGTGAGAGAGCTAGGTCTGCACCCCAAGCACACGTTTCCTTCTTGGTCTGTGGACTTCCTGTGTCACAGGACTATTCGGGTTCTTTTCCATTACATTCTGCATGGGCTCAGAGAGATTTAAGTTAAAGCAGAACACCACTTTTATAAATAAAATGAATTTAAACTCTAAAAATTGTAAGGCATGCTTTTCTGAGCCTCAGGGATTTAGGGCAGGTAACTGCTGCAGTCCCTGCCAGCTCCAACTCTGTTGGTCTCATGAGGCATGGCTCTCCAGATTGTGCTTGCTTTTCGGAACCACCCCAACTTATTCCTGACCTCATGCCCAATCCTCATAGTCTTAGCAAAGCATATTTTTTGTTTTATTATAATGCTGGATTTGCAACTGGTTATAATTCCCAAGGTTTCAATGAAGAATATATCTCAGAACAACAAGGTAGGAATGGCCCCCATGTTTGCATCAGGTGCTTAAGGTAAGATTAGGCAGAGCAAGAGGGAATGGAGACTTTGACCTCATTATGAAACTCTTCAAATATAATTTAGAGAACTTAAGATTTGGGTCGTTGCAGAGCAGTACTCGGTGTTCTCTAAGCACTGAAGACAAAAATACTTAAAGCTCTTTTGCATCCTGACTCTTCAGCCTTCTCACAGCCCTCGCTGAGTGGCCCTCTTCTGGACAAAGGCGGGAGCTGAGTGTTTAGGTTGGGTGACTGAAAGAAGTATTTTGAGCAAGAGAACTCAATTCCCTGAGAAGTCTACTCCAGGGATCTTTCCACAGCATGCACTGCCTGCTCCTTGGAGGATTTCATGATGGTGTCTGTGCCATTTCAAGTTTGGTGGGTAGATTATTTTTTCTAACAGTTTTAATTGTCATTGTTTTATCCCAGCAGACTGTTAGTACCTAAAATAATTGGTTGCTTTAATAGGTGCTCAGCTAAAAAGAACTTTATTCTATTATCTAATGTTTTCACTGGGCATTGAAAAAAAGGATCTTAAAAAAAGTTTTCTCATTTATTCTACAACCTCTTGATTGTAGAATAGAAGTTGTTCTTCTAATTTTTTCCCTGAAACTCTGCAATGTACATTAGTAGAGAGTTCAAGGAATCTTCTTCTTCAGAAGGCCAAGCTTTAAAAGATATATTTGGTATACATGTCTCTCTTCTATGTGACTGAAACATTTATATGAATTAGTTTCTAAAAGAGACGGTTACCCATTTTATGTGAGATTGTGCAGTTTCTAAAAGTAGGTAAAGAAAACCATGGTGCCACCTCTCTTCTATGTGACTGAAACATTTATATGAATTAGTTTCTAAAAGAGACGGTTACCCATTGTATGTGAGATTGTGCAGTTTCTAAAAGTAGGTAAAGAAAACCATGGTGCCACATAGAAAATGAGTAGAATCTTTTAATGTTATAAAGAGGTTCAGGATACACAATTAGATGAATATTATGACAATTGTGGGGAAAAGGGCACAGGGAAAATATAAAAACAAAATACATTTGTTTTTTTTCTAAACCTCGTAGTTTTTTCTAAACCTCTTGTAATTAAACTTTTAAAATAAGAATTACAGGAAACTTATTTTTGCTATAATTCATTTTTAGGTAAAAGAAAAAAAAGGAAATAGTATAATCTGACCTGTAGGGATTTGTGCCTAAACACTCACATGTGGAGGCTTTGGAGTTGGGCACACTTGAATTTAAATCCTAGCCTCACTTTTTATGAGGGGTATGACTCTGGACAAGTGATTTTTACCTCTTGGAGCCTCAGTTCTCTCTTCCATAAAATAGGAATGATAAACCTATTCACAGGGTTGCAGTGAATGCCAGGTCCAGAGTAGTTATTTTATAAATGCTCGTTGTATTTTCTCCTTTCTTCTTTGTTCCCTGAACTGAGCAATAAGAGTTGTTTTTCAGAGTAATAGCCCTGAGATACACTAAGATCCATAGTCAGCAAGAATCGGTTATGTTCAGAAGGTGCTACTTGATCAGAAAAGAGTCTACTCAGGTGCTTTGAAAATTCTCAGTAACAGCAGAAAGCAATATTGGAAACCACCCTTAAACAATTGTTTGTTTTCCTCTTCCCCAACCAAGTTTATAAAAATTTGGTCAGACAGGCGTTTTGTTTTGATTTAAAATATTTTCAGTGAATTGTTATCTGCTGAGTGCACATGTGTTCCTGCACTTTTTCTTTCACGATTGAAACTTTAAACCCTTCTCTTAAGTTCCCCTAAAAACCTCCCTGTGCCTAGTAAGGCTTTGCATATGTGAAGAGGGTGAGGGGATTTGGACCTTGGAGAAATCTCGCAATTTGAAATCTGCCTGTGCAGTCGTATACCAGAAATGAAAATGGTCAGTGCCATATCTGCTCTGTCTTTTCTTCTACTGAGGTTCCTCATCCCCAAAAGCCATTGGTTAATTAGAGTGTTTCTCTTTGGTTAATCAGATCATGAGTGCCTGTGAGTGTAAGAGGCATGATTGAAGCATTTATTAAAATTTGGCTCACAATAAGCCCCATAATTAATTTTAAAGAATTACCTCTCCAGTAACATTTTTTAAAAGAACAACTATACAAAAAATAACAACCAAAAGACTGTGGTTTTTAGCACCACACCTGGTCCAGATTGTACTGGATGAATCCATATTTGCTTCGCTGTAAATGATTTTGAGGGTGGAATTCTCGGATTGTTTTCTGTCTTGTAAACCCTTGACATTGTACTGGTACTTGTGTGCTCACAAAACTCCTGACATGGGAAAGGTCGTCTCAGCCTCCCACTGAAATTCAGGTTGGCTGCATTCATTCTGTATGTTCCTAGAATGAGGAAATGATATGACAATAAACAGAAATGCCCTTGCTGAAGAGAGAAGGGAAGCTGGTGTTTATCTGGTCAGGTGGTTTAGATTAGCTGTGATGCAGCTCTGTATTATGTTACTTTAAATCATTGTGTCCCAACAGGACATAAATTATGAAGATTGTTACAGTATGTTTCATCCTATGTAAGATCAACAAATTGGAATAATTTTTTTATAGGAAAATCACAGTGCTTTTGGCAAGGCTATTGAAGCCTTTAATTTGACTTGAGTATTTCTTAAATATTATTGCCTAATATATAAAGTATGATTTACATAAGGTATGAAATAAACTTTTAAAAACAAAAGGGAAGAGTTTCTCTGTAGCACTTGCATCGAATGGCAGAGCACTCCCACTGCATCGGTGTGCTTTTTTTGCCCCAATGTTTTAGAGGCAGTTGCATTGCTTTCCTCTGGTGGGATTGTAAACAAGCTATGCAGACTTGGTGCAGAGATGGAGCTTTGCTGTGTGCTGCCTGCCCGCCAGCCTCACCTGTACTCAGAAGGTGACTGCTCTGTGGTGGAACTGAATGGGAGTCTGCTCTGAGGGGAGAAAACAAGCATTCTCATTTATACACGTTCAGGAAAGCAAACCCTTTTTTTTTCTTTCTTTCAGGATATTGTGAATTATAAAAGAAAACCCCCAAAACTAAAAAAAAAACTTACTAGATCAACAGCTGAAGTTAAGGCAATTTATATAGGAATACTGGGAAAAAAATTGACTTAAGTATTTATTCTTTTAAATGTCTCCTCCATTCATTGCTGTTTTATGAGTTATTTGCATTATTTGTGAATTTTTGGCACAGAGACATAATTTTTCATTTGTATTCAAGATGTAGGTAATTTTATTTGTCCACACAAAACAAATTTTCTAGATTACGAAAAATGGCACAAAATTGCTTTGTGTATGATTCAAGCAAATTGGAGCCTTTTCGGAATCTGATGGTAGCATGTTTTCTGTGCACAGAACTCAGCATTTTTATAAGACCTCACACCCACAGTGACATTGAGAAGCAGTAGAGCCTCAAATTTACACAGACTGGTAGAGGGGAGAGAGGTTTGGGATTCGCTCAAGGCCATGGAACGAGACGTAGCTGGGATTAGAATTTTTCAGGATATGATGACAGCACTCACCAGACCTTGAGTCTTCGATACCAGAAATAGGGTAAGTGCTAAGTTTACTTTACTCTCCATGTGGCCTTAAGACCTGAGATTTTTCTTTAATTATTTAGTATTATTGTTTAAAACACAAAAACAAAAACGTCCCTATTTTCAATGTGTAAGTGTAGGAATTTATCTCTTCTTAGGCCTCATCATAACAGGTTGAGGATAAATTCTGAATATATTTGTGGTTTGCTTTAGCTCAATGTCTGAAAACTCTGGCAGGTTCAGGGACCTTTCCAAGTTCACAACCCCTGTGTGCACTTTGAAACAAATAAATACAACTTATGAGATGGTCTATTTCCTGGGCTGCTTCTTGCTTGGCATAGTTTCTGGAACATAGATCTGGTGAGCTTTTTTCTTCCAGTGACACATTGCCACTGTCTGTCACTGGAGGTCCTTTGTGCAGTTATTGGGATGTCCAAACAGGCTCCAATATTTGGGTGATGTATTTTTCTTATAGAAAATATTGGGAAATGTTGCATAAACTTTGCTTTAAAACTCTTAAAAGGATTGATTCCCAGTTTACAAATAAGTAAAAGAAAGGATAATAGGGATTTGTTGATGCTGTGCAGACCTCTTTATACCATCTGATATTTTACTATATGAAATGAGGTGATGTTCCATTTTACAAAATGTGTACTGCTTGTGAAAAATGTATTTACTGTACCATTAAGTCAAATTAGTTGTTGCTTTGTTTCTTTAAAATATTTTTTGAGTTCCCCGTTGCCCCCACCGCCCCACAGATGGTGGTAGTGGGTGTTCTTTCTGCCCTGAGACTTTGTTCTCTTCCTTCACCCTTTTGGTTATTGTTACAGGATCTTGACTTTGTTTAATTTAACATGTCCCAATTTGAGCAGAAGCCTTTTTGCCTTTTCTTTCTCTCTTTAAAAGTAGATGCATAAAGATTTTTTTTAGTGTGATAACAGGGGAGGATGGTTTCATGTCAGATATAAACGGGAATTAAACAATGTTAGTAGTTGTGTCTCTTGAAAGGAGCTAGTTGATTATAAAGAAGAAAAGTTAGAGAGTAGACTTTGCCATTTTGCATATTATTCAATTTTTTAAAATGTATTTGGCCACATACTGCATGTATCTTAGTGATTTGAATGCATGAAGTTGAAGCCTAGGAATATTTTTTCTATATAAATTTAAATTTTTATAAATGTTATAATGATGGCAATACCAAGGAGCTTAATTAAATTCTAAGTTCTGAAAGGATAGCTAAAATAAAACAAAAGTCTTTGGTAGTCTTTGTAATACCTCTTCTCACCTCATAAGACCCTGAAAGTTAACAAATATGGGTTATAAGCAATTCAGGGAACTGAGAACTTTTCTGAGGCAGCTGACTGGCAATAATGAGCAGCCCAATGAACAGTGAGGCATAAGTGGCTTTTCTGGTAGATTCCTCTTGGAGTGGTTTTGAAACCAGTGTTTCAGTCTGCTTTAGGGGGAGAGAATAGAAAACTGGTATAATGTGCCGATTTTAAGAGGGCAAAATTGAAGGATTGTGAGAAACTCAAGAAGGAACTAATCAGACAGTAGTAGCTGATGAAGATGTGGGGAAAGGTAATTTCAAATTATGTGTAGAGGAATTCAGAAATGAGTAGTGTCCTTTCAAGAAAAAGATACTCTCAGCTTGTGATCATCTCGGCCAGAATGTCTTTTTTGCACACATCAGCTGTGCAAAATTTATCTAGTTAGAGAACTTTCACTAAAAATGGAACAGAAATTAAGGAACCTTAGGTCAAATTGTGTTTAGTGGTATTTATGTTGGTTAAACTCTGCTACATGGAGAGGAGTGGATTTATATTAGTAGACCCCTATCAAAGAGGAATTTTCCTAGCCTGTGAATTCAGGAAGAATTTACTAATGTAGTGATAGGTCCTAATTCTGAAAGGAAAACTGTTTTGCATCTTGCTTTTTCATTTAACAATATATATTGAAGATGGTACCATGTCATTAGCTAGAGAGCTGCCTTATTTTTCCAGCTGGCTGTTTAGGATATAATGGTAATTGCCAAAAATGATAACTTAAGAACTTTCTTTTAAAAAGGTTCTAAAATGTTATGGTCTGTGAACACAGCTTTTGAAGGCAATGTTTAGAAGTGAGTGTGCTATCTCATAGATGGTGTACTTATTACCACTAGATAAGAGGGGACTAATTCAGCCTGGGCCGTGGTAGAGCAGGCTGCTCTTTCAGTAGCTTGTGGATATTGTCATTAGTGCCTGGGGAAGCCAGTTTTAATTTTAGAGTTGGATATTCTTGGCCTGAGTTATTGGAAATGTTGAGATCTGTAGTGGATCAAGTAGAGGGCAGATGGGCTAGAGGCCCGGGATTGGTGGGGGTTGTGTCTGCCTCCAGACACACACACTGAACTTGCCCAGGGAGTGGTCCTCAGGCAAGGCCTTTAGTCCCACTTCCTCAGGGGTGACATGAGTCACCTGCTTGACTAAAATGCTCACCGACAGATTGCCAGTTCCACAAGAAAATCTTCCTATGCCTACACTAACTTAGACAGTTCTAAAGATGTTTCTGGTTTTCTCAGCCTTGCAAAGGTGAATTTTTTTGTCTTTCAAATTGGTCTTCTGCTACGTTTGGAAAGGAATTCTTCCTTTCCAGGCAACAGACCCTATAATGTTATAGGGTTGTTGATGATGATAGTAATCACTAGCATTCACTGAGTGCTTAATAGAGTACCAGGCATACCATAAAGTATGTTACATGAGTTATCCCCCTTTCACATATGAGGAAACTGAAGTTCATTTCAAAGGTTAGGTAATTTTTATAAGGTCACATAGCTAGTGAATAGCACAGCTAGGAACTGAACCTCACTCTCTGACCCTAAAGTCACTGCAGTTGACCACCATGCTCAAAATACGACCGACAGTCCAGAAAAAAAAAGCATGGATCAAATACATCTTTGGTTGGGTCTGTTCCTTACAATTCTAGTTGAGAATATTCTTGTGTTGCCTGCAAATTAAGATTTGATGTTTCCTTTGCAGTGGTAAGAATAGTTAACAGTATTTTCCATGTGAAAGTCATGGTAAGACATATAATCATATTCTGGGGCAAAGAAAGCCTTTCGTTGGTGTGCCAAGCAACATTTATGTGATTGATAAGTCACCAACACCAAGGGAAGGTCCTGTCCTGTGACATGTGCGTGCTTGGCAATGATCTTGCTGTGCATTTTGCTTAATAATTTTCATTATTTTTAATTAAAGTTGAAGAAGTGCAGACTCTAGCTGAAATTAAGGTAGGTTGTGTTGCCGGAATCTGGTAATTACTTTAATTGATCACAAGATAGTTTCCTTGATCACCAATTAGAGTAAATTGCCGATCATGTTTCAAGACGTGAAGAAATGCCCAAACTGATTTATGTAATAGTGTTTTCATTTCTAATCAGACATAAATATCATTTCCTTCCATAGCAATCGTGTTTTATAAAAGAAGGGTTATAGGCCTACAAACATAAAGGTGATTCATAAACAATAGAGTTCTAATTCATTGAATTAGTAAAGGAAGTATTTAGAGGCTTAATGGAGATTGTACTGGGGAAATTACTTTGGAGTAGCTGGTGCTCATTTTCTTAGTGGGAGATATGTTCTTTTTTAGTGCATAATTAAAATAGTCTATAATCAAAATATAAAAGGCAGCTGATTTAAAGAATGTATATCAAAGAGAATTGCTCTGAGTAATGAAAGATTCGTATTGTAAATATGTGCTAGAAGTTAAGTCTTAGAACTTTAATAAATCATACATGTTATTTGGACTGAAGCTGCATTGTAAATTCAGGGTGCTGTTAAACATTTCACAGATAGATACAGGATTTTTGTTTTGGTTTTGTGTATCTGATAGTCTTTCATAGTTTCATGGAATAAAATGAAACAAAAGGAACTTGAAGAAAAGTTAAAGTTCCCAAAGAATACTTGATTTGGGGTTCACAGAAAAATCTTTAATTGCTGATGGTTTGGAGATTTCCAAATGACAAACTTCATTGGCCCAATTTGCTGTGATTGTAATGCTTACATTCCTTAAAATGGCAGAGTGACTTAAAAAGTCATACTTGATCATGCATTCATTGACTTGTTCATAAAATGTTTGTAATTTGCAATAGAGGAAAGACTGAAACTATTATCAGCCATTATATGTTATTTGTTGGCCATATGTTTGTTTGAAATGGCCGTGGCTCAACAGAACATGGCTCATAGACAAACTATGCTGTAAATTGGCACTAAAAACCCACCTAAACAGGTAGGCATATGTTAAGAAGTTAACATGAGCCAAAATATTTTAATATGAACCAGGTTCATACTCTGCAGAATCCCAGCTCCTTTTACAGTGGGAACTTCATTTGCATGGCTTGTTCATTTTTTCCCCACTAATTTTAAAAAAGAGATCAGGTATATACATGGTACAAATTCAGAAGGTACCAAAGAGTATAGTAAGTCTCTTCCTGTTCCTGATTCTCATCCACCTAGTTCCTACTCTCCATTCCACTCCCTCTTCTCCCCCAAATTCACCATTATCCCCATCATTCTGTTTTGTTTTTTCGGCGGCTGGCCAGTACAAGGATTGAACCCTAGACCTTGGTGTTATCAGCACTATACTGTACCTGATGGCTGGCCCCCACACACCCCGTCATTTTCTTATATATCATTCCAGAGATATTAATGCATATACATGCCTATAATTTTTTTCTTTCTTTTTTATATAATTCATATATTATTGTTATGCATCTTTTTCTTTTTCATTTAGTAATGTATCTTGGAGGTAGTTCCATGTCAGAGAATAAATAGTTTAGTCATTTGTCTTAATGGCTGAATAGTATTCCAGTGTATGAATGTACTGTAATCTATTTAATCAGTTTCCTGTTGATGGGCACTTGGCTGTTTCAAGTCTATAGCTATTATAAGCAGTGTTTCAGCGACTATTCATGTAATTTATGGGTGAGTGTGTCTGCAGGACAGATTCCTAGAAGTGGAATTGTTTGATCTCAAGGCA